AATCAGAAGTCAGCCAAGGATGGGTGAGTACCGTTAAGTTGTTTTTTGATTTTTTTATTGAAGTATGCCAAGATATGGAACTTTTGCCCCAGGTTTTTCTCAATCTCACAAGATATTTTCTTCTTGTCCCTTTTACCTTGATCTTGGAAATAGCATGACAGGACAAGACCAAAGAAATGGATTGTGTAATGATAATATGCACATCCATATCAGGCCTTTTGCATATGCACACATGCAGTCAGGAATGCATTTGCGCTCCTGAGTGTAGACACATATTTCATCTCCCAAAAGAATGCAATTTCTATTGATCAAATATGTATTGTCCATTATTATCTCCTGTGTGGGAAAGCATGGGCAAGTTAAACATCTCCCTACGGCACTCAATTCCAATATCTATGCGATTTTCAGGCCATATATCTGTTTGTGTGTGATTTTACAATAGTTATCCCATGATTTAAGTATAAAATTGTCTGTTCATTTTTCCAGGAGTTCTGGCCATGATTCAGATAGATTTGTTGATGGTCAATCTGATGAGAAGAAAGTTAAAAAGAAGAAAAAAAGTAAAACCCAAGCACATGGGGAAGCTGTGAACACAGATGTACCTCTCTCGGTGGCAGAAGAGAACGCTGATGCCAAGCCATCTCAAATTAGGACCTTCCCAAGTGGATTGAGTATTGAGGAGTTAGAAGCGGGAAAACCAGACGGGAAAATTGCCACTTCAGGGAAAAAGGCACGTCTATTTTAATCCGTAGTTGATCTATTTCATACTGATGCTGATTTTAAATTTGTTTGTTTGTATCTAACCTTCCAATGCATAATGGTAGCTTAGAATAATATTCTTTCCTCTGAACATTTCTTCAAGAGCAAAATTAAAGTAAAGGATTAATGGAATGTTGATTGGAGTAGCTCTGTTTGGTTTCAGATCAGCGTTCACTATATTGGCAAGTTGAAAGAGAATGGAAGAGTAATTGACTCAACTGTTGGCAATGCTCCTTTCAAGTTTCGCTTAGGTAATTACTGAATGAGATAAAGTCATACTTTTTACCAAAAAATTGTTCTGCGTTGTATTTACATCTGTTCCTTCTTGCAGGTCAGGGAAAAGTTATAGACGGCTGGGATGTTGGTCTTGATGGTAATTATGTAACTTGATTTGTATTTTGTAACTTGGTCTTTTGTTGAATAATTATAATTGCTTTTTATTTCGTTATTTCAAAACTCTTGTGATGCATGCATGATTCTCAGGTATGCGAGTTGGCGAGAAAAGAAGACTTGTTATCCCACCACCAATGGGGTATGTCTTTAGAACGTCAGCTAACTGATTTCCTTTTGTACATTTCTTTCTTTATAAACTCACTACTTGCTCTACATGCTGGCAGCTTTGGGAGCAATGGAGACGGTAAAGACGTGCCACCAAACGCATGGCTGGTATACGATATTGAATTACTGAAAGTTCGTTGAGTGATCGATTCTACTGCCTCCGGTACCGGCTTTTGCTTTTTTCTTTGTGCAAATTTTGTGATTTTTCTCCCCTTCATCAAATGCAAAAGAATTGCGGGAGCAGCAAAGTAGCTCAGCATAGTTTTCAAATGCCGACTTGTGGGAACAGCCTCAAGGCTTTGTGATAGAAAGCTGGCTTTTGTGACCTTAAATCATTTTGTTTTGTTCTCTCCTTTCTGAGTTCTTAATCTTCATTGAACCACATACCCAAATGTAAAAGGTTTTTGAATCAATTGCCAGAGAAATTACAACCGAAACATTCTATATTGTTGCTGAGTAGGCTGTGGAATGGAACCAGCCATT